AGGTGCCACGTCATTCGACGACTTAAGAAGTGCCAATAATGTTGTATATGGCACATCCGAGGAAGCAGCAAGGGCAAAAAATCTTCTGCAGGATGACAATGAATGGAAGAACGTGCTGAGCGAAGCTGCAATGACAGAGACATCAGACCACATCAGAAAGCTGTTCGCATACATCTGTGTGTTCAACAGACCGCATGATGCACTTGGGCTGTTCAACGACTATGTTAACGATATGTGCGATGACATCGTTAACGAGATATATGGTGATGTTGCCAACATGGCTGACAGCGAAGATCTGACGAACAGAACTATACTCACAACGAACAACGATGCTGCAAAGGAGATCAATGACAGCGTCCTTGACTTGATGATCGGCAACGAAGTGACATACACGAGTGCAGACTATATTGTCACAGAGGACAATGGTGTTGTTGCGAACTATCCGTTAGAGTTTCTCAACAAGCAGCAGCCTTCAGGAATGCCACCGCACAAGTTAGTTCTAAAAAGAGGTGCGTTGATAATGCTATTGCGCAACCTTGATCCAGCCAATGGCCTGCTCAATGGCACACGCCTGGTGGTTGATGAACTTCACTCAAACTTCATCATGGCTACTATTGTAACCGGATCCAGGAAAGGTAGCAGGGCAGTCATACCAAGGATCGATATGACGCCGAGCGAGACACAGCTGCCACTCATACTCAAGAGAAGACAGTTTCCGGTTCTTATTTCGTTTGCGATGACAATCCACAAATCACAGGGCCAGTCATTTGACAAGGTAGGTGTTTATCTGCACAGCCCAGTCTTTGTGCATGGTCAGTTGTATGTAGCTCTGTCGAGAGTGCGCTATGCAAACGGTCTAAGAGTGTATTTTGCTGACAATGGAGACCAAGGAAAGTATGAGAATGGTAAAGTATACACAAGAAATGTTGTATACAATGAGATACTGGAATGAAAGTGATTTATTGATTTTGTAACCATGGAACAATTGGTAGAAAGGAATGACCTGATGTTGCAGTTATATTCAAAAGCGCTGTTTTGGTATACTATCCATTCATGCACCCGTTTTTGAAAAACGGGATAGCGCAGCTAGTGATATAAATAAAATTCAATAAGCACGAAAAGTTTTATTTGATAACCGTAAGAGTCGCAGCGTCGATGATCACCGATTGACTGATTGAAACAAGCGCAAGACGTTCAAGTGATGTGAAATCAATGTAAACTGCAAGGTCTTGTATAAAATCGACTAAATCAAACGCATGACTTCGTGCTTTATATTCGTTAATTTGATCATCACTGCACTCAATGAATAGTTCCTGTAATCGTATCTTATCTCTCTGTGCTTGTAAATTGATATTGATTGGTTGTGAATACCGTATTTTGAGTACTTCGGGAGATGGTATCGATAATAAAATACTGTTAAAATCATATAGGAACTGTGCATCAATCACCAAAACTTTCAGACTTATATTCGATCGAGCAAGAGTCGACGGATTGATTTCGTGTTTTATCATCAGATTTCTATTCATTATGTTCAGGTCAGTAATATTCAGTAGCTTGAGATTCATCGGCAGGTTATGAAGAAATTCGTTGGTGATGGTTTTGGGGCATATTCGAAGAATTTTGAGATTTGACAACTTTCCAAGTGATTTGCAATTATCAGCATCGATAGCAACAGACGTGAACTCTAGCTTCGAAACAGTATTCATCACTTTTTCGCTCAACACTGCTTTGAGAATAAGATTAACCATGATATTT